TAGCGAACTGTTTTAGTAATAGCCTCTAATATTGCAAAGTTCCGCTTCCTAACTACTGCTTAAGTTATATATCTTTATAACTTCTTAATTATAAACGCCTAGCCTACTTAGCCGTTTATATTAGAATTAGCAGTGCAGTCGCCTATAAGTATTAAGTACTATACTAACTAATAGAATATATTTTAGCTTGCAGTAAGCCTTTTTAAAAAGATTATAAAAAACCACGCCTTCTAAAATAGAAATAAACGTACAGCGCTTATAGCGGTAGATATATTCTTAAAGATTAACGGGTATAAACTCTAAATAGTGCCCTTACAGCCTAATACTGCAAATTAAACTTTAGAAAGCGCCTATATTGCGGTATATACTAACGTGTGGACAGCTAAGCAACTAGGTTAATTCTATTAGCAGATAGCTACCGCGATTAAAAAGTAGACCCCTAAAATTATAGCGTATAGAAATAAGGCTGTAGAGTATTAAGCGTTGGACTATATTAGGGGTTTTCTTTTAGTTAATTATAACGCTATTTAGGTGGCTTTTTTAGATTTAAAGCCGTAACTTTCTTTAAGTAAAATCCTTTTTAAGTTAAAACTGTATATTATAGCAAGGGGAGTATATAATAGAAATAGCAGTATAATCTAGTATTTATACCTAGCACTTTAGTAACTATTCTTATCCCTTAATAATTATATATCCTTTAACTTATTAAGCGCCTCTCCGATTTCTAGTCTTATAGTACTAGTAAGTTCCGCGAATTCCGCTACCTTTTATTAGCATGCGCTAAATAAAAGTGCAAAGGCTTAGGCGAGGTACTATCTAGAGTTCCGTCTAAAGCGATTATATATATCACGCCGTAGAGATATAGTATTGCCGGACTTATATTTACAGTAAACTGTTAGGGAGCTGTTAAGAGATAACTAGGCGGGGGCAGCCGGGCGATAAGTCTAAAGATTAGGAGATTAGCAACAACTATATAGTAGATGGTGGACAATTACTAAGGGCGAAGTGTTAGGTATTATAAAAATAGCTTAACGTAAACCTGTCCGGGCGCTTAGGAAGAGCCGATAAGCTATTATTAAGGCAGCTGCTAGCCTGCAGAGTATAGCCAACTTCTATAGGAATTAATATATAGGCTTTCCTAGGGTCGCTAACTTAGATAGAAACTTTTTTTATAATAAATGTGCTGTCTGGCCTAAGATTAGTAAACTTAGCCATCGCGATGTAAAAAGCTCTCGCAGTTGCGTAGCAGGGTCGCCCAATTGCGGCACAGAAGGGTCTTGGAGCGTAGAAAGGTTATATAATAGCGGTATACACAGCTCGCGCAGTTACGGTGTAAAATCTAGCAAGTATAGCTAGGTGGGAATTACAGGTATAGAAAGCAACAATAGTCTAACTAGGTGCTGTTATAGCTTAGTAGTTACCCGGAGAAGACGCAGTTTAAAAAGACCCCAGGCGCTCTAGCGCATAAGGATTACTTATAAAGGGTAAGGCTTATATTATAATTAAACAGCGCTAAAAAGGGGCTGGAAAATTAATATAACTGTGAGATTTTAAACCACTATAACTTATTTAAATTAGATAACCGGCTAATAGAGGAGCTGCTATACAAACTACGCACCGTGCAGACTATTAATGCGCTGTTGCATTGCTATGCGGAGAATTAGGACTATAAGAGCGAGTAGAATAATTGCGTGCATACTAAGGTCTTAGAGCTCGCGCTAGGGAATAATAAGGTAAATATTAGGTTCTGGAGTGTGTAAGTTCTAATCTGCTGCCTTAACTTAAGCCTTGCTAACTAAGTTACTATATAGAACTGCTATAAGAATTATATCTAAATTCCGGCCTATATATTCCCCTAGCCTTACCACCGGCAAGATTATTAACTATATAATATTCCTTAAGCCTTCGGGTTCTGCTTACAATGCTATCTTATCTTTTATTAGTATATTATCTAAGTTTATTAACCATGCTGGCTATAAGGGTCTACGGATCTAACCTATAGCTATATTAATTAAGACTAAAACCTTTGCCCGGCCTAATAAGTATCGTGATCGCAATATTGCGTCCTTAAAATTAGTAACTCCGGCCGTCTAGTTGTGCCCCCTTCTACAGTATGTTTTTTTTATCTAGAATCCCTTAAATATCTTTATTACTTCCGATTATTAATTTTAAGACCTTTATTTATAGATGCACCTCCGATTACTAAAAGACTGCTTTTAAAATTAATACGGCTCTAAGGTAGTTTAGGGTTTTCCGTTTTTAAAACTTTAGTTAGCAAAATAAAATCAACACCTATTTTATTATTAGGTAAGCTAAATTATAAGTAGTTTATATAAACTATCTTCTGCAGGGATTTCCTGGTACCGCCTTGCTTTTATATATATAATAAGGGACTTGCCCGGGGAAAGTAAGTTAAGTAGAAGCCTTGCACAGTTCTTTTTTATCCCTCTGCAGGTAGCTGCCTAGTATTTAATAGGGTATCTCTGTCTTATATTCGCAGATTAGTTGCCCTAGAAATTGCTAGCATACCGATAATAAGTATTTACACAGCGCGGGTAACTTAGTAATAATCTATAGGCTCTAGATACGGTCTTATACCTAATTCCTAAGCAGCCGCACAGCTATTATTTATTCCCGAACCGCCCGCAAGCTATTCTCCTACACCGGCCACTACTACTACAGCCTGCCCTTTAATCCGACGTTGCGGTCCTTATAGGCGCTTTCTCTAAGAATTTACAAGCGCTGCACTCGCAAACAGCACCTAAGAACTTAACGCAATCTATTAGGCAGTAGGCAGACTACTTAAAGGCATCCGCAGTTACTACTTTAGGACGTCCTACGCTATTATATTTTAAAGAACGCGGATATACTTAGGCATAATAAAACATATGCTTACCCTGCTACAGCTGCACCTATATATTACCCTGCAGCGTGCTGCGAACGGCATCTTCTTATATAGGAACTAGCTGAAAATAACTTCGCATGCTTTATTGCTAAAATAGCTAATATATATTTTAGTATTGCTATAAGTTTTAATATTAGTCGAAGGTGCTTATAGTACAGGCTTTCTATTATAATACTCGACCTACAGCCGAGATTTATTATAAGTACCAACTTTATTATTAAAAGGCCCTATACTGCTGGCGAGTTTGTTATAGTAGTAGTTAGCGCTGCTTATTATATACGGCAGCACTTAAGTAGATAATATATAAGAGGCAGAGGTCTGCGTGGAATAACTAACTTACTCGATTAGAATATTTACGCCCCTATTAGTTATAGTACACTTAGTTATATATAAGTAAAACACAATTAAAATTATAACCTAGACTAGTATACCTTTAAGCTAGCAGAGAATAACCCGCCAGTATTTGCAATTATAAGACTTTTCTGCCTGTTATTCTTATGCTCTTTATAACCCTCGGGCAGGACTAGTGCGCGCGCGTCCCCACTATTATTAACAGGTGGTGAAATAGAGGGCCTTAAGGCTGTTGTTATTGAAATTCTGCTGCGCGAGGAAGTGGAAGCCGATAACATCGCGAGTGACGGGAAACGGAGCTTCTTAAGCTGGTGGTGGCGAATAGAGTTTTTAAGGTTTACCTACCTGGGCATGCAAAGCTATAGAGCGTAGCGCTAAGCACCGTATATTAGTGGAAACGGTGGGCAGGTATTAGCACCTAAGGCGGGTATTATAGGGGTTTTTAAGAGCATGTGCCTTTATCCCGTAACTTTAACGGAGCTCCCTTAAATAGCTCTCCTAAACTATAACAACAAATAACCCCTTTAATACTTAACGCTCTTTATAAACAGTTGCTGGAGAAGCCCGAACTATATTAAAATAAGATAGTAGTCTTCCTATATAACAAGTTCGGTATTTTTATAAATGCTTCCATAATTAGTCGCGCTCTAGCAACCGCACGCTGGATAAAGAAAGTTATTCGCTAAGTAGCTTAATAATAGAATAAAGATCTTCGGGACTTCTATTTATATAATTTCTCTAATTTCAAGTTATACTATTTTATATTTATAGATAAGTCCGGCTGCAACAAGCTTTAGGCGAACTAGCTGGTCTTTTTTTAGTATCGCGCCCGTTTAAGTAGCTAAGTTTTGCCGCAACTATAGGTATTAGCTTACTCTAATAAACAATACTATCTATAGAAGTTATTTAATAAGACAGTATATTAGAGAATAGGCTTCTATTATATAGAGTGCTCTCCGCTATGGCGAGCTAAATATTATTAAGCGGAGAGCATATAAGCCTATGTATATACGACTTATTACTGGTGTATAACGCGCATCGCTTTTTTAAGTGTTAACTAATGGAATTAAATTCTAGCTTAGCAAATTAATAAATGTTAGGCAAGCGTACGACAATTTATATATAATATAACTGCGTTTTAACCTTATCCGTGCTAACTTTATTACGCGATTATTTATACCCACCTGAATAAAATTATTCTTTTACCCTTAGCAATAAATATTTAACTATTCTTATTATGCCTTCTAAAAGCCGGAAGTTAACTAAGAAATAGTTTATATACCTATTACTCTATAATAATATATCCGACCTTCTTCGCAAGTACAACCTTTTCTTTTAGTTTTACGAGAAAGACAATAATATAAGTTATATAAATAAGGGGGCTACTAATCGCACACCCCCTTTTTACTAATCGCACACCCCCTTCTCACTAATCGCACACCCCCTCCCCCCCTGTCGCTTCACCACGTTCTGATTGGCCCGGAGGGGTGCTCTGAGGCCTCCGATTCGCTCGCCTAAGTCGCTCACTAATTCCAAATGCTCTCTCCAAATGCGGCCTTGATCGCAATCAATTACATCCTCTTCCTCTCCTTCTACAATACACTCACTATGGCCCTCCACCCGCCACGGCTGGCGTACTACGCTACAGCAGAGGTAGCGCATATTGCTCTACAAGCGCACGCATCAGCGCAGGGCTACGGCCTAGCAAAATACCGTAGTAAACCAGACAGAGTGGACATACGAGCATACCTCCAGGACGCATGCCGACAGCTCCGCCGCCAGCACCGCCTATTTCTGTAGTCCCTCGTCCAGCTCCTGTAGCTCGGAATGCCTATCAGTCGACAGCTACACCGGCTGATCTTTCTTATATTGATCCAGCCCTTCTTAGGCCTACAGTTGCATCTACGGCAGCATCTACGGCAGCGCATACAGAAGCGCATACAGCAGCGCATACAGCAGCGCATACAGCAGCGCATACAGCAGCGCATACAGCAACACCTGCAGCTAAGAAGCGCGGCCGGCCGCCTGGTGCAAAGGATAAGGTACCACGGAAAAAGGTAGGAGCTCGGAGGCAAGACAGTGCTCAGCCTCAACCTTAGGTGGAACAAGAGGATGACCGTGCAGATATCCTACAACAGATTGCAGCTCTACAAGCACGTCTAGAAGGGTCTTAGCGTCCAGCAGGTGTTGAGGGGGGCACTGCTGAGTTATTAAGCCGGCCGCCAAGCCGTAGGAACGTTGTAGCGCCTGCAGAGTATAACTATAAGGAGGAGGCTAAGAAGTATATGGATTAGTATATAGAGTAGGTGCAGGTGGTAATGCAGGGGGGCCAGGCTCGATGCAAAGGAGCCGTAATAAGGTGAGGTTTTAACAGGTTTAGCATGCTTGTAGGCATATAGGCACTTCTAGAATAGAACTTCTATTCTATACTAGACTTAGGCTTGTATATAAGGCTATACAAATCGGCATATATTTTTTCCTATTCGTGTAGCTATATATATAGCCGTACGTAAGGCCGTACGGCCTCGCGTATAGTATTACGTGTAGATAGACGTATAGGTAAATGCCCGGGGAAGCTCCGCGTTAATCCGAGCTAATTATAAAGTGGTGAAGCGACAGGGGGGGAAAGGGTGTGCGATTAGTAAGAAGGGGGTGTACGATTAGTAAAAAGGGGGTATGCGATTAGTAGCCCCCTATATTTATTAATCTAGGCCTTATTATAGAAAGAATTATATAGAAAAATAAAAAAGGTATTTAAGTAGTATAGAACAACTTTAACTACTATACTAGCTCGGCTATTATTAGTATATATATAAAAGAAATAGCAGATACTATAATAGTAAAAGAACTTATTATATAAAGGGGGCTACTAATCGCATACCCCCTTTTTACTAATTATACACCCCCTTCTTACTAATCGCACACCCTTTCCCCTTCTATTACTTCACCACGTTCTAATTAGCCCGGAGGGGTGCTCCGAGGCCTCTAATTCGCTTGCCTAAGTCGCTTACTAATTCCAAATACTCTCTCTAAATACGGCCTTAATCGCAATTAATTATATTCTTTTCCTTTTTTTCTATAATACACTTACTATAGCCCTCCACCCGCTACAGCTGGCGTACTATACTATAGCAGAGATAGCGCATATTACTCTATAAGCGCACGTATTAGCGCAGGGCTACGGCCTAGTAAAATACCGTAGTAAACCAGATAGAGTAGATATATAAGCATACCTCCAGGACGCATGCCGACAGCTCCGCCGCCAGCACCGCCTATTTCTATAGTCCCTCGTCCAGCTCCTATCGCTTAGAATACCTATTAGTCGACAGCTACACCGGCTAATCTTTCTTATATTAATCCAGCCCTTTTTAGGCCTATAGCTGCATCTATAGCAGCATCTACGGCAGCGTATATAGTAGCGCATACAGCAGCGTATATAGCAGCGCATATAGCAGCGCATATAGCAACACCTATAGCTAAGAAGCGCGGCCGGCCGCCTAGTGTAAAGGATAAGGTACTATAGAAAAAGGCAGGAGCTTAAAGGTAAGACAGTGCTTAGCCTTAACTTTAGGTGGAATAAGAAAATAACTATATAAATATTCTATAATAGATTACAGCTCTATAAGCACGTCTAGAAGGGTTTTAGCGTCTAGCAGGTATTAAAAGGGGTACTGCTAAGTTATTAAACCGGCCGCTAAGCTATAGAAACGTTATAGCGCCTGCAGAGTATAACTATAAAAAGGAGGCTAAAAAGTATATAGATTAGTATATAGAGTAGGTGCAGGTAGTAATATAAAAGGGCTAACCCTCGCCGTCCCCTCTACTACCGAACCGCCATCTAAACGCTCTCGCCACTCCGACGTCTCCATGATTTCCCGGATCTCGATGGATAAGCCACGCCCCCACGCCAGCCCCAGGACCATCCGCTCCGTCAAGTCGAAGACGACTGCGTCGACGCCCCCGCGGAAGACGCCGAATTACGTGCCGTACAGCCAAGACGCGTTTCTGGCGCGGCTGAAGACGTTTGCGGATGTGAAGCTGTGGACGATGAAACCAGACCCTATTAATAAGGTGCAATGGGTGAAGAGGGGGTGGGTGTGTGAAGCGTGGAATACCGTTGCTTGTAAGGGGGGATGCGAGGCTAGAGTGGTGGTGAGTCTGAGGCCGAAGCGGAAGGATGACAAGGGGGAGGAGATTGAGGGCTCGGAGGACTGGAGTGTGGATGTTGAGGAAGAGTTGGTGGCGGCGTATGCGGAGAGGATTGTGGAGGGGCATGCGGAGTTTTGTTTGTGGAGGAGGGCGGGTTGTAAGAGTAAGTTCGGATGGGTATGGCTACGTCGGTGTAGGGGATGATGCTAATCTGGTTGCAGAGGATATCTATCATATCCCGATTGCGCGACGCGATGTCTGCGAGGCGGATCTCTCACGGCGGTATCAGTCCCTCAAAGCGATCGAGGCACACCTGCCTCCGTTCGAGTGTGTCAAATTCACCGGCATCAATCCATCGTCTCTCATCAAGTGCTTACCACCCTCATTCTTCGCCGCCGCAGAAGAGAACGCTGCTACTGAAGAAACACCACCGCCCTCCCTCACAGCCTTCGCTTTTGCCCTATTCGGCTGGAATGGCGTCGCCCAAGACGGCCTCTACATCGCACAGTGTTCTCACTGTTTCCAGCGCGTGGGTCTATGGCTCTACACGAAAGAGCGTATCGCGACTATGGCTAAGAAAGTCAACGCCGAAGAATCTCAACTCCTCCTCAACCTCCTCGAAACACACCGCGAGCACTGCCCCTGGAAAAACGCGGAGGCGCAGGCTAACCCGCCGGACGGACAAGTGGCGGGCTTCGCGGCGTGGCGGACGCTACAGTATGTACTCGGTGTCAACAAAAGGCGGGACACTACGGCGACGCAGGGCAGTGCTGAGGTTGGTGGCGAGGCGGATATAGCAGGGAAGAAAGAAGGAGAGGAGAAGGGGGATAAGGATCTCGCGGGGAGGTGGCAGCGGTTGAAGAGTAAGTTGAAGAGATCGACCAGCAAGCGAAGTTTGAAGTCCCTAGGGAAGGGTGGAGATTCCTGAGGCTCTAGCTCGAGGCTGACATTAGTGTTTTCCTGAAGAGAAGCTCCTCTGCTCTACGAAAGACAAACGCTAACTCCGCCACCATTACCGCCCAGCCCCAAGCTGATTAGGATCGGTAAGTGGACGAGGTGGGTGGCGATTATGGTCTGTCCGGCCAAGGCCCTGAGTCACGGTGGAGGAGTTATGAGAATACTCCTAACAGGCTAGGACAGGACTGTCGTGGTTCATAGGTTCAAAGGCCATTACATACGACTACGATAGCGATATCTCCGCCCGTCGAAAACGACGGATCACAGTGAGGGAGCTACGAGGATATTAAGCTAGGTTTAGGATATTGAATTATCTAGTAGCATGTTCCTCAAATCATCAATCAGAGTTTCCCATCTACTCCCTTACTCGCTAGCATCTACGTGATCTACGGCACATAACTGCCACGCTTAGCACGTGCAGCGTCCGTGCCCGGCTTATATCGTTTCTATAAAACCTACTCGCACGTCTTTGATTTGTCTCACTATAGAGGAGTGGGTGGGCGGTGTTCAAACTATGCACTAATCGGAATAATTAGGTTAAGCCGCGCTTGAGCTTTAATTGGCTGTAGGCTTAATCCGATTGGACTAACTACAAGTGATACAAACAAACCGACCGTCAATCCGATTGAGGATTGGCCGGTTTAATAACCATAGTGCCAAGGGCCAACCTGCATCCCGCGAACACCTATACGTTTGCGAAGCTCCGGTTCTAGCATTGCCGAGATAAGCTTTCTAGCAGAAGACGTGACATAGCTTGGAAAGGTCAGAGGCGTTAGGTTGATGTAATTTTGTAGCATAATGATATTGTCGCCCATTGGATTCATTAAATCGTCGTAAAAGGGAAGGGATCCGCATAGCATCGCATACTTTTGCATATCAGCGCAGGAATATAACTGACTCTGTAGGCGTTACAGCGAGAACTTACCAAGATTATTCCGCAACTCCACACATCAACCCACGGGCCTGTATACATGTCATCGTATTTGAGAAGTTCAGGGCCGGTGTAGGGCAGAAGGCTCTCAGAATTCTCCAAGCAGACGCCCCGCAATTTTCCGTGCTGGTCCGCCTGCGCAAGGTTGAATAATGCGATGTATTCCCGGTTGTTTGAACCCCGCTCCATGGCTTTAGTTGGTTTATTCTTCGCATTAAATGTTCCTGCCATACTGAAGTCCGTCACAACGATATTGCCGTCTTTATCGAGTTGTAGTGTTCTTAAGTTCAGATTATAATAGATAACTCCAAAGCCGTGCAAATACAATATCGCTCCGAGAAGTTAACTAAAAAACCTTCGAGCAGTATCTTCTTTAAGCATTTTGTGCGAGGATACGTAATCAACAAGCGTACCGCCGCTAGGATACTGAAGGACAAGGCCAATATGATTTTTAGAGCGAATCATTTCAAGTAGTTGTTAGATATTTTTATAGTTGGTATTTGATTAGATCGCGTTCTCCAGGTGAACGCTCAATGCCTGTTGCGGATCCGAGGCGTCGCGACGGTAAAGACGGACTGCAATCAATTCCCCTTTATTATTTTTTAGACCGCATATTATCTTAACTCTGCAATCTTTATATAGCATTCGACGTAAAATATATGGCCCGAAGTAATATTTACAAGTAAGTAGTTGGTCCGACTGGAGAGGATTGCCAAGGTCTTCCACTTCGGTCACGCTGTCTTCTTGGGAGACTTCGCTTATTTTCTTACTCTCCTCCATCGGCGCGTCACGCAAAACCGGCAGCGGTAGGGCGTCGAGTGGGGAGAGGGCGGGAGGGACCTCGCCCATCCTTGGCGAGGGGAGGTTGTCGAAGAAGAGGTCGGGGCTGCCGTTATCCTTAGAGCTTATTATCTGTAAGAGAGGCTTTATAGCAATAGGCGCAAGCAGGGGCTGTGAAGCCTCCGGGCTTGGACTGGAAGACACGGGAAGCGGGGATGAAGTTTGGAAGACTGGCTTATGCGGAGATAGTATTACCCCCGAACTAGGACTAAGAGAATTATGTGGATGGGGAGAGATATGTAAGGTCGGCCTATATAGAGTTAGCGGAGTTCTGAGACTGGAGGAAGGAGTTAGTTAAGATAACTCTTTAAAGTTGGATAGATAGGGAGGATCGGGATCTCTTATCGTCTCCAAAGTCTTATTATTTTATCTCTCTGCGATGATAGACTGCAGCACAGGCTTTCGCGACATCTAGGATCTGCTAATTGACAAACTGTCGGCTGTGGGCGTCAACGTGTTCGCAACGACGACTTGGTCTGCTCGCGGGATTACAGTTAACAGCCCGGTTAAAAACTCTTGTGCTATTTAAGATTTGGTTGTGGTTTTGGCATTAGTGTTTGCACCTATTGTGAGATAAGGCTCGTGCGTCTGATCGACCCCAGTAGTCCACAATGCCGAAGCGCCTGTTATATCAAAGTCGGGCAATAATATATCTGCCTGAAAAAAACTTTCAGAACTAGAGATAAGGCGATGAACATAAGACTGCGTTCTAAATAGCAGAGGAGAGCAAGGAGTAAAGCACACCTTTATAAATCGAGAGATAACTATACCGAAGAAGCCCTTTATGTCTTAACCCAGGCGTGCAACATGGCATCTTTGGCCGTTAGCCGGTCTTTTGGCAAAGGAGCTATAAGAGACTTTACAAAATCACAAGCGTTATTGCTAATGCCGTGGACTGCCAAAATTTCAATAGGGAAAGTTGTTTTTCCCCTAACGTAGGGTCCTAGACGTCTAATTGGGAAAGGTGTCTCCCCGGTTAACGCCCGAAAGACAATCTCTCCTAAAGCCCAGACATTAACGGACACGGTGTATTAGTCTTCGACATTAAGATTATTAAAATCAAGAAGGCCAAGTTGCATAAGTATTTCGGGTGCTAAAAATCCCGGCGTTCTATTCAGCGTCCGTAGAGCAGTAAGTCCCTCTGCACGTTTGCTAATGCCAAAATCGCCAATTTTAACCCACTAATTAGGTCCTATTAACTTTACCAATATATTCTACACTAAGTTATAGTTAGGAATATTAGATTTTACGTCTTGGAAAAAGATAGATCCTACTGTTAGTTTTAAGTCTCGGTGGGCAAAACCATTCTCGTGCATAAATGCGATGCCTTCCAGGATCTGAAAAGTAATCTACTAAACTTCTAATACTGGCAAGGGTTTCGCTAGGTAATCCTGGAGATCGCTAAGGGGAAAATACTCTATAGTAATAAAAATGCTTTCCCCGCTCTTATACCACCTAGAGGATTGCATAAAGCATTATTTATATTATTTATAGGAAAATTTAGCAATAGCTTTAAGCTTATAACTATAGTTAATAGTACTTAATAGATAGCTATTCTTACGGATTTCCTTTACGGCACGTTGCTTCGCATCAGCCTCTCCCGACACTAATTTCTTAAGCCATACAGTCCCGAACGCACCGGAGCCAAGGCAGCTATATTTTTGCTAGTGCTCTTCCTTCTTTACAGTCCGTTGGCGAGCGCTGGCTCCAGAGACATAGTATATATAGTGGGTGTAACTAGAGTAGAATCGCATTCTTAGCCTTAAGTCCCTTATAAGATCTAACCTCGGAGCTATAGCAGCATAGGGCTAGTAGTATAAAGAAACAATATGCAATATATTAAACGCTGTAAGTGCGCGAAGCTTAAGAAGGAAAGCGAACGGAGAAGGATAGAAATTAATAAAAATATAAAGAAGTTGGGATAGGAAGGCTAAGATAACGCATAGCGCTTGGAGTCGGCGCTAGCCGTTTTTAGTGGCCCCTTATCCAGCGCTTAACTCTCCTTTAGGATACAACGCTGCCTCTTACCTCTATTATCTCTATCGCTTTCCGATATATATTATCCACCTCCCTTCCTTAAGATCTAGAGAAAACATGCAAACTCTAGAAGCAAGATACGCGGCGGATATATAATAGGCTAGTTACTCGAAGGTCTCTAGGCCGCATCTTAGTCCTAACTTAACAAATCAACTCAATATAGTAATATTTGGAGATAACAGCGACTTTAAATATACCTCTATAAGAACTTCTTTAATTAAAGTAATACTCTACGGCCGCCTAAGGTAGCGCGGTAAGATATTAGATTTATTAATATAATAGGTCTATAGGTCCTTTAGATTGGCGAATATATTAAAGTGTTATTTAATTAATATTAGGGAGCTAATGTTTAGTAAATAGATCTGCTCGGATTCCAGGCCGTAGCGTCTAAACATTAAATAAAGAGTATATAATATAGATAATTTATCCCTAATTGCTGCTAATATTGCTTGCTATAGGGGATTATTATAATCTAATAGATTATATTTAAAGGAAAATACAGGCCCTAAATTAGAGAGAAGTGTATATCTATTATTAATTAACTTTCTTTCCGCATATATAGATAATAAGAGAATATAACCTATAAGTATAAACTAAAGGTTTCGTGTTAAACTTATAACCTACTACTATACCCAGTATTATAAAAGTTCCTGCGGAGCGTTGTATCTACCTTCTAGTAGTTCCTGTGTAGTATATAATCTATCTCCTGGTAGTTCTAACAGCTCTATATAAAGCTCTTCTTTAGAAGGCGCTTATAAGTACTCTACTAGTAGATACTTTAGAGGATTAGGACTAATATAGATAGACTAATCCGCGGCTTCCCCTGCTATTTAACGCGTTTTTATAGCTTGTATGCTAAGGTATACACTAAAAAGTAGGATTATAGGTATACCTAGGCCTAAGCCAACACTAAGTCCGACCTTTATTATAGTGTCTTTGTTTTATAGTTATAGTAATCAAGTTATAGCGCTTAATATTAGGGCCGGGAAGAACTGTATAGCCGTAGCGCTTCTTATACTTAAGTCTGTAATTAAGGTTAAGGTTGTTATAAATATTGCTAACGTAGTAATAGACGACGAGACTTCTTCCGCTGTAATATTAAAATAGTGGCAAGTAAAGAACCCGTCTCTAGCTATATTCCCGACTAAAAGGAAGAATATATTTAAGTCCGTTAAATTTATACTATAAGTTTGGACGGTCTATTTAATATTGTTTATTCCGAAGGATAATAATTTCCCCTCTAGACGGTTTCTTTATTAATACCGGGCGCTTTAAGTATAAATAATCTAAGGTAGATATACCAGGTATAATTTTCCCTAAAGGATTATAGCTTCCTGTTATTTTTTGCTGCTAAAGTTTAATTTTATAAGACTTAAAGTCTGTCTTCTATATAAGGTGTTAAATAGAAGAAAGCTGGAGATTAATATTATTAGAATAGTTAGTGTTATCGCCAGCCTAACTTAGAAAGGTAAAGAAGTTGCTTTAGGTGCTAACTCTAATAGTAAGAAGTAAGTGGCCAAGGATAGTAAGGGGCCTAATTAATTAAAATATTGGTATTAAACTAGTGCCTCTAGAAAAATAGAAAGAATAAGAGTATTTATAGTAGAGTAGATGCTGTAGTAATACCTAAGAGAACGGCAAGAACGCTGCTCTGTTTATAGGTGCGGCGCGGTATAGCCTAATAGCTAGGTCTAATCTGGCCGCTAGTCCCAGACGTATACACAAAATTAGTAGCTGTAGCACAGCAGGATAGAAATAAGTTCTTAACTAACTACTTATTATACAGCTTCTAGACCTATTTTATAGTTATTATTGCAAGTGGTTACGGTGTTATAGTAGCTTTTAATCCCTAAAATAGACTGCTTTAGACTAATAAGCTTAATTAAATAGAGATCCCGTCCCGTCTTTTCTAGAAAAACACCTGTATACTAGCTATAGAATGCGTTTAGGGGCTGTTTAGCCTCTAGCTGCGTCCGGTAAACAAGCGCGGATTTAACGCCATAGATATACTAAATAGAACTAGAATAGAGGAAACCCTTTTTTAGACCTAAGCTTACTAAGGCTAAGCTAAGTATATAAAAAAGTAAGGTACTGCAAGGCGTAGCTTTTAAGATTATCCCTTTTTTACAGCTGCGCTTCGTAGCTTAATATCCGCGCTAGTCTACTAAACGCATCCAGAGGCTGTAGCTAAAATCGAAGATTTTTTGCACTATCGCAAGATTTACATAGTATTTATATAAGTGGAATTAGTAGATAAGATAAAGTAGATTTACCTGGGAAATATTTTATAAAGCTGTTATAGTTAGGAGCAAAATTATAAAGTCGAGAAAGCTAGATCTCTAGTAATATTACGGCTAATAGGAACCTAAGCTTTAGCTTCCAGCCTATTTTACTTACGGCTAGCGGCTCGGCGCAGACTATTCTATTCCTGGCCTGCTGGCACCCTAGGTAGAGGCTCCCTGCGCCTAACACTATATTTATACTATATTTGTTTTGCCTTCTTATTAGTATACGCCGCAGGCCTATATAAGATCCTTTATTATAGCTGTGGATTAGCCTTTCGCATGCGCCGTAGGGCGCTTAGCTGTGCTGTATACCTTAGCCTTTCTTAAAGATGCCAGACTTTCCTTAATTCCGTATAGAATCTGCGCGATCTTAGCCGCTCTATTATAATTGCAAATTCTATACCTTAAAGGCGCATTTAACTTATAATAGTTAGGATTATTATATAATAGTTAGGATTATTACTTTATCTTTATTTCTACTTTATTTTTAATGCGAACTATTATCTGCATTAAATAAATTGCTATACTTAAGCGGGGCAGTTGCGTAAAGTAGCTTTTTAGAATATATATAGAACCGAACTCTTAGGGTACTTCTAAATTTCTTTTCCGCAACTTTATACTCTGTATGTCTAAGCAGACCCTTATAATGCGTTAGTTCTAGAAAATCTTCGTCCTTAATCTCCTATCCCGGATAGATTATAAAGACGCTATTTTTCTAGCTACTGCCCTAAGCAATATACAGCTCGATTAGATAGATGCAGTAAAAGGCGCCGATATACTTAATAAGGTGCTGCCTCTAGGAAATTACTAAAACCCTTCTAATAGTATTAAAGAATACTAGAGGGTATATATAAAAGCTCTTCTAATATGCGTACTCTAGAAATCCTTATATATACTTTATCTATTACTAAAGCACTTTCTATAGTATTACCTAACAGAATATTTCCACGGCCCTTATAATAGAAGATAATATAAACTAGGATATATAAATTAGGGACTAACTACAGAATTTCGCACTTTTATCCCGCGCTTTAATATAACCTTTTTCTTTAAATCCCTCTAAATTCGCCAACTTAACATTTCCTATCCTAAAACCAAAAGCTTAGATCCTAAATATCTCTTTTAAAAGCGCTCCTAGGATAATTAAGCCCTTTAATTCTCTATATAGCGATAATTAGGATCTGCTCTAGCTCGGCCATTGCGGCATGCAGTTTCCTAAGCCCAACAACAAACCCCTTAACCCGCTCGGTTGTGTTGTACACTCTAACAACCTCACCGTCCCTAAGAAGTAATTTATCTATTTCCAATAGGGCTCCGAAGACCTCACCAATAACTATCCCGCCCACACGCGCGTCGTGCACTACGCCACCGGCGGCGTCTGCTCGCTGGCCTACGCCGTCTCGCAGCGGGGCGCTCGCCGCCTACTCTACGAACTCGGCGTTAACAAGTTCTCCTTAAACCTAGATATTATGCTGCGCGAGTTCTACACTGGGGCGAATAGGCGTGTGCATAGGACATATTTAACTGTGCAGCCACAGTTGTTCCAGCACTATTAGCCGAGGGGCGCAAGGAAGGGATTTAGTGATATTTCGGATTATAGGGAGGATTAGAATAAGAAACCTTATTTAAAGTATATATAGTAGAGTGTTAGGATAAATTTTAGGAAAATAGTAATAGGGGAGATAGATTATATAGATTAGTGGCCGGCTGGGGGAAAGGATAACGGGCTGCCTAGTTAATAAATATAGGGAAATAAAGTTAACTAAACAGAAGCTTAAATATATATTATTGCTCTAGTATAGCTTTCTCCGGATAGACCCCCTAGATTCTTATTTATAGATGCGCCGCTGTTTATAGTAGCCTACCTAGTTTCTAAACAATTAGAAATAATTAAATACTATCTTACTAAGAGTTTAGAATATAGTCTAAAGCCTTATCCCTTAACCTGTTAATTAAGGCGCAACGCTCGGGCCACTTTTTATAGCTAATTAGATGCACCGTATCGGCCCCTAAGTATAAAAGCTATAGAGAGATAAAAATGTTTAAATTCGTGATTTCTATATATATATCTGCTTATAGAGCTAGGCAATAGTATTAAGCCGGGCTATATACTCGCTCCAGTATATGCCCTCTCTATAGAACGGAATATTGCATACAGAATAGCCCTAATTCGTTCTTAGCGGCCTTTTACAGCGTTTCCACCCCCTGCTATTCTCTCGCTTCTTCTATATTATATTAATAGATAGCTTAGCAAGAGCTTTTCGAGCGCTAAGATAAGGCTTTAAAGTTGCGCGGTGCTTAGCTAAGCAGCCGGCGCAGGTGGGTTATTTTATAAACATTTTAATATACTAATACTTATTAACCGGTCTCTAAATAAGATCTATAGGCCCCTTCGCTCTTTATATAGAATTTTACTGGCAATAGTAAATAGATGTATATAGGAGCTTGTTTTATAGGTCTTAACAGAATTGTAGATAAGTATCTTAGCGTAATACGCGCTCGCCTAAGCCCGGCTCGGGCCTGTATAATAAGAGTATATAGCTATTGCCTATAACTATATCTAATAGGAAACTCTATAATAGCTTCTATATCTTTCTATAGATATAATTTATATTATAATAGCTATATATCTGGTCTACCACATCCACGCCGCATATCTAGAGGTTATACTTATCGATTATTACTAGAATATTAAGCCACGCCTACGCCTTTTTACCAAACATCTTCACCGTTTAATAATATCCTATAGCTGTTTTTATAGGTTGTTTCTATAGCTTAGTAATATAATCCTTCCCGTTATATATAGTAGACAGGAACAAGACTATTATTGCATTTTTCCAAGCGAATTCTATTACCTTATAACTTTTTAACAACTTACTATATAGCGTGCCCTACGGAATTTGCCTATTATAGCTTAACTTAAGGTCTATAAATAATAGAGAGAAGCTCTCTACAGGCTTAATCTTCTTCCTTTTTATCTAGCGTTGTAAAGCGCTAGATTATTCCTTAATAGCAATAATATTTATCTTAATTCCTTCTATCTTTTCTTTTTTTATTTTAGTTGTGTATATAGTGCCAGCTGCTCCTATTCCAAGCTTATAGAGCCTCTTAAATAGCTTTATATTAGAGAAAAGAATATCCAGCTAAACTATATACTTATAAGGTGGATAGAGGGGTTAATTTATAATAGAATTATATTATATTAAAAGATTAAGTATAACAGCTTATATTTTAGTAAAGCCCTCTGCAAGAAATAATTTATTAAGGTTAATAGGGCCTTTCTTATCTCCCTTAGCATGCTATAGCTAATTAAGAATATAGCCTTAATTCGCAAGAACCTATATTTTAAACCCCTCCGGCGTTAGTTTAGATAGAATGTTAATAATTTCGCTAGCCTGTTCTATAAACCTCTGTATTGTTTTATTAATAGTAAGGTAAGGGCCTAGGGTTTAGTATATGCGGCTGCGTACTCGTAGATACTTAGAGAGCTTATCTATACACTTAAATATTAAATAGAATCTATTCTAGGGTATAGGAGAGCACTAAAAGTACTAATTAATCTGCTTAAACCGGGTCTTTAAAATATAGTCTTTTACTATATAGCTAGCACCACGTGATCTAGGGCCCTAATAGTCCTTAACGCGCTTCTCCACGGTAACTCCTATATAAATAAGTGTTCTAAAATAGGTATAGAGCTCGTGCCTTGTAGTTAGCTTCTATAGCTATAGCAGGCGCACGTTGGTGGGCCGGTGCTATTCTGTATACTTGTTTGTCTACTGCACCATCTTCTCTATTATTTTATTAGTAAAGAATAGCTTAAAAATAGCTATAGGATTATGCCGATTAAGACCAGAGGGTATAGAGGCTCTCCCTAGAGCATGCCAACTATTAATACGGAGTAGAGAGAACTCGGGCAGCGGCGCCGGCTTTAGGGGGGGTGTTTTTACTTATTTTATATAAGAATCCTTCTATTTAACATAGTTAATGTTATTTAATATTCTGGGCATAATTAGGTATTAATTGCTGTCTTTTTAGGTGGGTTCTAGTTAATTATTATGCCTAACAATATTTGTTTATATATCTAAGAATAATATTCGCTTAGTATTAGCCCGAGCGTTACGCCTCGTTAGGTTAAGGGATATCGGGAACTCTATTCGCGGAGGTGTTGTTTTATTCTATAAGCTTCGTCGTGCGAAAGATATATACTAAACACCTTAGCAACCTTATAAGGTATTTCTATCCTAGACTGGTATTTATAATAGGAGCTATACTGGAGAAGGTAGTATAGTTAATTATTAAAGTATTAGCTATTTATCTTGCAAAAAGCTTTCTTAATAAGAATTTTATCTAAGTCTAGCACGCTTTGCAAAACTAAGTTATAGAATAAAAAGGCGAAGGATATAAAAAGTTGTTAAAACTCGGGACCTCCAGTAGCGGATAAAGCATCCTAATTTTTGCTTTCCCGAAGGCAGATAGTGCTGGCAGTAAGCTCGTCGCTATATAAAATTACTTTATCTGTAGGCAAGCTTTTTATCTTATCTGCTTTACATACACACTATTTAATTGCTCTGCCGGGAGTTGGGAAAGTATAGGTAATAGTAGCTAGCGCATTTCGCTATAGTGCGTGATCCACGGAACCGCTAATCTAAAAGCGAGGGAATCTATATAGAGATCTGTTAATAAACGTCCTTAGAAAACGTTTCTAAAGTTTAGTAGTAAGTGCGTATATAGATAAGGAACGGTCGAATAAGATAAGAAAATATTCGCATTTGTCTGTAAAAGAAGGTATTAACACGTTGGCCTTAGTAAGTAAATCGCAGAATTAATCTAGGTCGCGATAAAGTACTATATATTCTATAACCGTGTCTAATACGTCGTCTATATACATACAGTAATGCATTGCATACCCTTTAAAAGCGCGGATATATTATCGGTTTATTATAACTACAGGAACGTCTTTTAGAACTACCGGTTTAATATCCGTACTATTATATATAATTCGTATAAAGAGATTCTCCTTTAGTATTATATTATAGGCTTTAGAATAAACCTGCTTTAATACCCTAAGGATTTAAGTTTCGATTAAGTGTTTAACTATAACAGCGTTGGAAGGATATCTGCTATCGCGGCTTCTATTAGACCTAATTCTTTCTTCGCGTAAAATAGCTTCCTTAATAAATGAAAACTATAGGTCCCTTAGATAATCTAAATGCTCGAAGTTGCATAAAAGGTACTTATATACTTTATTCCGGATCTTAGGTGGTAGGTTAAGGAATTAAAACGCATTAGTATAAGTTTATACTAGCGGCGTCTCTAGAGCTAATATAAGGTTAATAGAGCTAAGGGAAACGCTGGCTAGGTCGTGTAGTAGTTCTTATATTGGAGAAGATATAGCATAGAGAGCGGTGGACACGAATTAGTGCAAAAATATAAGAGCGGAGACGTAAGGCTTGCAATATAATATAACGGCTTAGGTAATAAGTGGTAGACAAGTCCCAGATTTCAATCGATATGGCGTTGGAGGTTAGGGCTTCGAACTGTAATCCAAAAAGTGTGGTGTATTCTACGAGAGGGGTTGAAAGTGCCGGGTAAACAAACGCGATATAGATGGAAATTTCGGCTAACTAACACCTAGCATAATTATATATGCGGTTAAGACCTTAAGTTAAACCTATATAAGACAGGTTAGAGAGTTTAGTATTAAAAATAAAACAATGCGGTACTATAGATCTAGTATGCCGATTTAAAATTGGCATTAATACACGTACACCTAGTTATATATTACTAGATAGTAAGATTTATATAAAGTCGACTAGTATAATATCGCTATTATGCGTACTTAATAGGTAACAGCGAAAAGGTTAATAGTTATATTCTATAGCATTATATTATAGCCTTATTCCTCCTCCGTCTTATTACTATTATTACTCCCCCCGAGGTCCAGCATAATAGAGCTTTGTGGTGGTTCTTGCTTAGGCATCCTACTCCTAGCTCTTAATGCCAGATTTGTACTTACTCGTGCCGTGTTAACGGGACTTAACACGAGTAACTCTGCACGTTGCATTAAGGAGCCTAAAAGCCGATCGGTAGCGTCTACGTCGTTCTTATCGTCCGATACTTAATCTTTTGCTTTCCGTAGGCGTTCGATTATGCGGAGAAGAATAGGTTTAGCATGCTTATAGGTATATAGGCACTTCTAAAATAGAACTTCTATTCTATACTTAGACTTAGGCTTATATATAAGGCTATATAAATTAGTATATATTTTTTCCAATTTATATAGCTATATATATAGCTGTATATAAGGCCGTATAGCCTTATATATAGTATTATATATAGATAGATATATAGGTAAATACCCGGAAAAAGCTCCGTATTAATCTAAGCTAATTATAAGGTAGTAAAGCAATAGAAGGGGAAGAGGTATACAATTAGTAAAAAAGGGGTGTACGATTAGTAAAAAGAGGGTATATAATTAGTAGCCCCCTAAACTATATAGGAGAATATAATACTAAAAAATATAATAATCTAGGTATTAAAAGGTGCGCTAACTATA